TGGTATGGCACAACCATATTTTTGTTTAAATTTAAGAAAAAATGAATAATTAAGAATTTCATACTACTGATTCAAATTAATTTAATTTAATTTAAGACATTTTAATATCAAGTCTCAATAAACGATAATTACACAGGTGTTTACATTAAGACATCTCAATTAACGAAAAATGAAACAAAATAAAACAAGAAGATATGGCCTTAGATAAAAACTATATTTTTGTTTAAATATACTTATTATATGAATTTTATTCTAAGTATAAATTAATGTTAGAAAAAAAATATTAAAAATTCAATGATTCTAACTTATTTAATTTAATTAACTGTAAGACACATAAGAATAAGAAAATTTTAAAGTCGGTTTTGTTTTTTAGAATTTAAATTTTTATTTCGTACGTTGTATTTTGTAAATCTCTATACGTATTTCGAGAAATTCGCTTTTGGCCACATCATGAGAATTCCTAATATTTTGATTAGCGATAATTACACAGGTGTTTACATTAAGATATCTCAATTAACAAAAGATGAAACAAGACATAAAAAGTAAATGTATAGCATAAGATAAAAAATAATTTTATATATGAATATACTAATATACTTAAATGATTTTCAGTCAAAATATTAATAAATGTTAAAAAATAAAAAGAAATTATTATCATATTACTGATTAAATGAAACATAACTAAATTAATATATCTTATATCTCAATTAGCGATAATCACACAAGTGTGTACACTACAAATATTTATAGGTGAAGAGGTTAACAAAATAAAATAATAGTAGAGCGCCAGATAATATTAAATTTTATCTATATATACACTTCTTATATGCAGTTTTGTCTTAGAACAAGTTAAGTTAAAAAACAGAAAGATATTTTTCAAATAATATAATATATATGTATATATATTGTGTAATTATAATCCCACTTTTTTCTGTCCTATAATTTTTACTATTTTATTTATTTTTTAATTGTTTTTTAGAATATTATTGCATTGTTATTGTTTCTATTTAAAAATATGACTGCGTGTATTTACATATATGAATATAAGTAAATACCATACTCTCAGTAAACTGAATTTAATGCTTAGACTTTTGTTAATATTATATTGAATTTAAGCGAAACTTCGATTTATAATACCAAAATTGAGGCCTAATTTTTTTGATTTAGTCTTTAAGTCAATTTCGATATTTAACTCATATACTTTAGTAAATGATGTTAAACAATTTAATACCTTTTGGACTATTGTAATTAAAAGTATAGAATATATAAATATATATAAAGATTGAGAGAGGAACATTAATTATTTAATTATTTTTGTTAAAGTCCAGCCTTTATCAAATAACATATAAACTTGGGTCTTAGTTGATTTCTTTAGTAAATGATGTTAAACAACTTAATATCCTTTAGACTATTATCACTAAAAGAAACAAATATATATAAACGCTAAGAGATATCGGATATCATAAAAACTGTATATTGAAGTAATCAATATTACAAAACAACACGAATATATGTGCGATTAGCACAGTTAATTATTGAGTAAATTATCGATATTCAAATAAATCATAAGGCTGAACTTTAAAGTACAGATAGAAGTCAATTTTAGAGTTTCTGTATTTCCAAGATTCTAATTTGAATTGGCTAATGTAATGTGATGTTTTCGCAAAAACTATGTACTTAACATCTATATGTTATGATGAAAAATAATATGATTCCAAGAAATTTTTTAGTATTGTTCTAAAGCACTTTTCTTTATAGTGATTAAGAAATACTATAAATTCAGTTCACTCATGTCAACAAAAGGTTATCTAGTTTAATATAGAAAAGAAGATTTATACAGAACTCAAAAGAATCTGTCTGCTGACTAATATAGTTCATTTTTGAACTAAAAATTATTATACTGGAGTAAGAACTTAGAGAAGAATTAACTAAAATGTAAAGACTCTGACAGTTTTAATGGAAAAAAGAAAAAATAAATAAAATGAAATTTATGTATCATTACTTATCGAATCATAAAGAAACAATTAAAGTTCAAGATGGAATGAGACACATCCTCAGGGACCTCAAGATTGATTCCATCAAAAAATACATAAAAGATAAAGCCCTGAAGTTATTTGCGAAAACCGACGGACTTACCAACACCGCGTTATCAAATCTCAGAATGGTTACAGGCTGCTCGGGGAGGTATGCAGATCTGAGGTCAATTATTGCTTAGTCTGATGAAGTGATAAACAATAATCCAGTCAAGGCGTAAAGAGGGGTTTTAAAAATTCGAAGTATTAAGAAAGAGTTAAAGTGCTTAAGTGCACTGGCTAAAAAACGCTTCAACATTATAACTAACGTTTTGTTCTTCAATAAAGATTATTGTAAGTCAAACTATTAAAAAAAAAATTTATGGGTGAACAATTTATTATCGCACCATTTCTGTTCTATTTTTATCATAAATCTTCTATTTATTAAAATAATATTTTTTCACTATACGTAAATTGGAAATGTAAAATATTCAATTTCATTTTATATCAGATGTATATATATATATATAATTATTTCCTATAAGACTTTTTCATCAATGACTTAGTCCGTTTCATCGAGGCAAGGTTAGAGTAAAGGCATTTGCGCTATTAAAAATTTATTTCAACTTAAAAACAACTGTTTTATTAAATTTATAAAATTGTAAAATAATATGATTTGGTGAAATAGATTCATTTCAATTATTAGATTACTAAAAAAACAAAAAAAAAATAAAATAAAACAGAATCTTTACTAGCAAAGCTGATAAGTGAGGAAGGTGCCCTTATTAGTTTTTTACAAGTATATACAAGTATATGAAGTAGTGGAAAAATTAAATTATATTTAAACATATATATATTCTATTCCTATGTATAATATAAAATACAAATTAGTTGGGTAAAAAACAGTTTCAGAATACTCATTATTCATTACATCTATAAAAAAAGACTGACATATTCACGTGAGTCTTGAATGACACAATTTCATGACATATAGTATTTAACGAATAATCTTCTATTAATTTATAATTTATTTCAATTATAAATTACAAAATCCCCAAACTAAGCAATTTGCATAGAGGAATTTCTTTAAGTATTAGATAATTAATTTAATTTATTTGATCTTATAATTATTTTTCTCAAATAAATTAATATTCCACAAAATCTTAAATCTTAAAAAAAATATATAATAGAGGTGTGGTTTTTATTGAACTCTTAATAGGAATTAGGAGTGGAACTCATAGATTATACAATAAAAATATTTTAAATCAATTCATTGTAATTAAAATCTTAAACTGTATTTTCCTGGATAATATATTTTATACAATTTAAAATGTAAATATAAAATTTAAAAATTAATATAAAATACATACAAAAATACCCTAAACGTTAATACAAAATATTGTTTTTATATAATAATATAAATATATATATAGCATATTTATATACTAGTATATATATATATATAGTATTTAATACGTAAAGAAAAAATAATGCTAAAATTGTTGATGTTATCTACTTTTGACCTGGATTGCCCCTAAGTTTCTCAACACATCAATTAATTCAGATGCTGGAAATTCTTCAAATTTAGTCAAATTGGCTATAAGTATACAATATTCGAAAATAGTGTGCTAAATATGGCACGAAGACCACATTTATCAAACTACACATATAACCTGGCCTAGTGGAACAAATACCTAGTGGAGTGGAACAAATACTCAGTCCCGATAGCTCTCCAGAGACTCTCCAGAGCACTCCACAGTCCCGCTAGCTCTGTCAAACAGAGATATATATTTCGACCGATTAGAGCAATTACTATCTCAATTTTCTTATTAAAATACCCCAGCTAAAGTTTTTAAACGTATAGACACCTATCTGCACATCATACACAAGCAGTTTTTGGAGAGATAAGTAAATCAGTCAAACGTTTGTCGCTTTTTGAATGACAAAATATGTACTGAGTCCTTCACCCTTACCATAAACAAATTAAGTTCACAATCTTCTAGACTTTTTGATCATCATTACTTTAAAGTTAATAATATAAAGTTAGTAGTAATTGAATGTTGCCCACCTTAACAATTGAATTGCCCATTGTAGGGTATATGCGCCACATTGAGACACATTGAATTAAAGGCTGTTTTTAACAGCTACTGCCCTCAATCCAATATCGCCAATAACATATAAGTACAAAAAACACTGACCCAAAGAAGAGACTTACAGATATGGCAGTAGAAACTACAGTGGATGTACTGTACTGTCTCAAATATTTGTTTAATATCGTTAATATAAGTAATTGGAACACTGACTCAGAACAGATTATTCTATATCGCCAATATAAGTATTAAGAACACCGACCTACAGAAGAGAGTAACAGATATGGCAGTACAAAGTAAGTCCACTTTCCTATAAATATCTGTCTAAAATTGCGAATATAAGCATTAACACCACTGACTCACAGAGAAGACTCACAACTATAGCAATAAAAAGTTCATTCATTTTCTCTTAAATATCTGTCCATCAATATCGCTAAAATTAACAACATTATTGGTTTAGTTAACATGATAGAGTAGATACGGAATCCGAAATATGGCCTAAACGAATGATACATGCTGTGAAAGTATTTGAAGTGCTATGTTCCTTGATATATAATAGCAAATATCTCTAATAGATAATATCAATGATAGTTTAAGCTTTCATCGAGAACTAAAACATAACAGAAATAGTTTTGATATGATTGAATAAGATTTGAACAATAAAGCGAAGATTTCGCCAACAAAATATTGGACTCATAACATTCCTACCCAACCATTGTAAATAGCAACATATAATATATTTTCAGTATTTAATAAAGTATAAGTAACTTTTTATCGACTTTTTAAATTTATCAACTATTAAGAATTAGCAGATAATCACTCATTAAGATTTAGATGATAGTTTGTTCCTTGAGCATTGAATAGAACCCCACAATTGTTGGATTGGTTCGGAACTCACCTGAATTTGTTGCTGGGAATCGTGCCTTTAAACTGTGTATATGATTTTGATGTTCATTGGCAATAGCTGCTGCAACAGCATTTGCAACGTGTTGCACAGATGCAGCTGCTGCAGCATTTGCATTGTTAACATTTGTATTTAGATTTGCATTGCAACTGTTTTGTGCATTTGTAGCTGCAGCGGCGGCGGCGGCGGCGGCAGCTGCTGCTGCTGTGTCACTTGAGTTAAAGTTGCGTTGATAATGAGAATTCTCATTATACATACGCTGATATGATGATAATGTCGGTATGCTCCACGAATTATTTGTTTTATAATGAAAATTGCCAGTACCAAAAATTGAATGCATATTTGTTGCAGCAGCCGCGTTAGCAGCAGCTGCTGCCACAGCGGCAGCATTATTCGATGAAGCATTGAGATTTTGTGTTATTGAATGACTTAAAGCGGATAATTGTGACTGTGCCTGATGTTGTTGTTGTTGTTGCTGCTGCTGTTGCTGTTGCTGCTGTTGTTGCTGTTGCTGCTGCTGTTGTTGATGATGATGCTGTTGCTGTTGTTGTTGTTGCTGTTGCTGCTGTTGATGATTATTATTATTATTATGATGATGGTGGTGCTGTTGCTGTTGTTGCTGATTATGATGCTGCTGTTGTTGTTGCTGTTGCTGTTGTTGTTGCTGCTGATGTTGTTGATGCTGATGATTATGTTGTTGCTGCACTTGTTGTTGCATATGTTGCTGTTGTTGTTGTTGTTGTTGCTGCTGCTGATGATGTTGTTGGTGTTGCTGTTGTTGATGCGGTTGTTGTAAATTATTATTCCATTGTCCATTTACTGTTGACTTTGTTGATTCATTACTACTCATACTACTCCGATTGTTGTTATCAATACCTGAGCCACTTGTAGTGTTGCTATCATTGCCGCTATCACTATTATTGCCACCACCGCTACCACCGTTGCTTCCGATATTTATAGCTGCGGCATTAGCATTCAATTGTTGAAAATATTGATTTAAAGATTCTTGAAAGAATCCGGAGCAGGCGCTTGCCTCTGAAGACATGATCACTGCTAAAGAACCTTACGTTCGGTAGTTTAAGTTCTCTATTGTAGTAATTTACGATAATTTCTTTTTAAGAATTTTTTAGTTGATAGTTTTAAATATTCTTTTATTCAAATTCTTTAGGTATTTACTACCTTAAATTTTATTAAATTATTCTTTCTGACTAATAAGAAGAGTTGCAGATAAGTTGCAAAAATTGTTTTCATTTTATTTGTACACTTTTCTTAAGAACACAGATTATTTGGAAAAATAATGTTTAAATCGTTTTTATATAGTATTGGATATATAAGTTTAAGTATATTCCGTAATCAGATGGTATTCTGATGGTGTTCAGTGTGCCCACATCTGGAAATTTTGTGCTTTCATTACAAGCTTTAGATTTGTTCTCATCGAAATGAAGTGTGATTGATTTAAGTCATGATTTATGGTTTCTAACTAATTAACATAGAAGCGGTGGTGATTCATGTGCTTGAATTTCTATATATACATATAATGTCAAATATATATGAATGTTTAGTTTTCTTTATCATCGATTATTTTTAGAATGTTTGATGTAATGCCAAATGAAACTGACGAACTTTTCGTATGTGTAACAAGAAAAAGTATTTACATAACTGTGACGTCATAAAAATTCTCAGATCATTTTCATTTATTAAATATTTTTATAATAATTATTATAAAAATTTATACAATTTATTAATTAATACAATTTATTTTAATTTATTTAAAATACTTTTTTTTAAGTTCAGAATTCAAGCTGAGAAATATGGTTTCCCAAAGAATGCCTAGCAATATTTTATTATAAAGATTAATTTAATTACATTTTGTGCCTATTATATTTATAAATAATAAATATATATAAATATTAATAAATACATATAAATAATAATAAATATTATTATATTACTTAATATGCAATATACATTCAACGGTGTAATTTATATTAAAAATAAATAGAATGAAAAATTTATAATTGTCAAAGTTTCAGATCAGATTCTGCTATAAAGTTTAAGCTATACCCGTATTTTTGTATATTTTTGTTAAATTAAATTTAGTTCGAAGCCCGTTATACCGAACAATATATAAATTTTAATGGATTTATATATGGGAATGTCAATTATATATCAAAAAGTTGTCGTTAAATAACATTGTCTATGCGTGACAAAGCCTTTCACCAAAAAATACACTATACCTATATTACAGAATAATACCTAACCCAATAATGTAATTCCAGTTAAATAATTACAATTATAGTTCTGTTAAAAAATATATAGCATAATATTATATAGTTCGTAGATTTAATTATAATTCTAATTAAAAAATATATAAAATAAAATAATATTTTATAATCCAAATTACAATATAATAAAATCCCTGTGGTTTCATTGGTCAGGTCATCTAATACAAATGGTTCCAAAAGTTCCGGACAATAAAATAATAAACTATAAATTAAATTCCAACCATAAAAGTAACCGTACTTTGTGGCTTTGGTTTGATAAAATCATATCATATATCAAAAAATATTATGAATTACCAAATCAATTCATGGATAACACATGACAGATATGGGCACTGAGATCGGGAAAAAGAAAGTTTGTTTCGACTTTTCACGCAAAATCATGTTCAAGTTAAAAACATAATGAAAAAGAATAAAAGTTCTGAAAAACCTAAAAGGACAATTCGCATTCAGATTCTAATAGAAAATATTGATTATTATATTAAAATAATTACACAGAATTACAGAAAACCCACTGCTTTTAAATATTCTAGTTTGAGTTCATATTAAGTTTCAGATTTCTTATGTAAATCACTGGTTCATCATTATTTCCTAAATAAGGAGCCTTTCCCTTAGAAGGTATGGAGGCAATAATTATAAAATGTTTTACTTAACAGTTAATAATGTTTTTGTTTGGTTTAATTTTTTACTATTAAAAATATTTAAATAATATATATAACAGAAAATTAAATTTAATTAGTTAAGTTAACTTTACTGCAAGAATACATTTAGTTCTAGTTTTTCTTGTATTATATATGTAATAATAGTATAATATATAAAAATTAATTAAACTCCAATTTCCAATTTAATTATAATAAGATATTCAAAAATTAATTATGTTCCAGTTTTTATTACAATTAAATCTTTTTCAATTTTTTATATCAAATATATTTAAATATATTTAAAAAATAATTAAAATCAACTTTTTATTGCAAAACAAATTATTTTCATTTTTGCATATTAGAAACAAATAAATAATATATTTAATAACTAATTTAAATCAAGTTTTTACTGCATTTGAACTAATTATTATATTTTTTTTACAACAAAACAGTTTGAAAAATATACAATATTCAAAAACTCATTTAAATAATTTTAAATTAATTTTTTTATATATAATTGTTATTTGTTTTTAGTATATATGACTATAAAATTCTATATGAACTCTTAGATTCTAGAGACTTATGGATTTATTAGACTAAATATCAATTTTAATTTTGCTTTAATAATAATAATATTTATTTATTTTATTTCAATTATATATTATTTTATTGTATTTTATTTTATTTTATTCTAATTTATTTTATAGTATATTATTATATTTTATTTTATTTTACTTTATTGTATTTTAATTTACTTTATTGTATTTTATTTTATTTTACTTTACTGTATTTTATTTTGTTTCATTTTATTTTATTGAATTTTATTTTATTTTATTTATATTTTATATAATTTATATTTTATTATATTTATATTTATATATTATTTATTTTTATTTATATTTATATTTTGTTGTATTTTATTGTATTTTATTTTATTTTATTTTATTTTATTTTATTTTATTTTGTTTTATTTTATTTCATTTCATTTTTATTTTCTTTTATTGTATTTTATTTTATTTCATTTTATTGTATTTTATTTTATTTTATTTTATTGTATTTTATTTTATTTATATTTTATATTATTTACATTTTATATTTTTTATATTTTATTTATATTTTATATTATTTATATTTTATTATTTTATTTATATTTTATTGTATTTTATTTTATTCTATTTTATTCTATTTCATTTTATTTTATTTTATTTTATTTTATTTTATTTTATTTTATTTTAGTTTACTTTATCGAATTTTATTTTATTTTATTTTATTTTATTTTATTTTATTTTATTTTATTTTATTTTATTTTATTTTATTTTATTTTTTATTTTATGTAAGAGAAAGAGATGACGCTGGATGATAAACAATCTTATAATAGTTATTATTTAATCATGTAATTTTTTTTTTCGAAAAAACTATCTTCATATTAATTTAAATTATTTATATTAGTAGTTAAGTGTAGTTAAAATAAACAATATTTAATTTTAATGAATTTTTCAAAGAAGAAAAGTACATTTATTTCTTTATTTCCTTTCTCTAAGTCCAATTGGTTACTTCTACTTATAATGCAAAATGTATCATATATAATATATATATATTAAATTCTTTGAACCACAATATTCTCTCATGAATTCTAATACATATAAATTGTAATTAAAATAAATTGTTTTTTTTTTATAATGCATATATAAAATAAAATTTTATACACAAATACAAATATTTGACAGCTTCATTTAAATTTGCAAGTTTTGTATTTCTCTAATTAAGTTCAGGTACTTTACGTGTATTTTCCATATAAATCAAATGAAATGTATTTTTATTAATATATTAAATATTATAATTAAACATTTTCATAGTCACGTTTCAATACCTTTTCTTGTTAATTTTTGCTTAAACGAAGTATTTTTGTAAGTGGAGAGGAGAAAAAAAAGAAAAATAATTTTTCTTTTTTTCAGCAATTTTTTTTGTTTTTTGTGATGAAATATTTTTGCTTGGACTTTTAATAAATTTTTTATTTTTTGATTTTATAAATCAAATTCAAACTGAAATGAGATCCATAACTTTATTGACGATGATTTTATAGAAGTAAACTTTTTTTTGAAAATTATTTTGCTTGCTGTTATAGGGAAGTTGATGTAATTGCATCCGCCAGAAATGATATATTAACCAAAATTTATTTATTTAACACTTTTTAAAACTTTTTAAATGTATTTTTTTTAGTCAAGGTAATAAATATTTTTTTAAATAAAATAAAATATATTTTTTCAACACTTGTACACAATTATACACTGTAGCAAATTTTATTTATTTGGAAATAAATATAGTATTATATTTTAATTTTATTTTTTAACACTAGCACAGTTAATTAAATATATGCATAAATATATTTGTATTTTTTTTTTTGTTCAATAATTTATTTTTTTTAATGTTAATTAAATTTTTAATGTAAATGTATTTTTTTTTCTTTCTTTAGTTAACACAAAATTTTGCAAAATTTTCTTTGCAAAATAAATAAATTTAATTATAATAATAAGTAAAATTAATTTCAAAAATCCAACACAAAAAACTGTTTTGATATAATATTTTCTTTTTTCTTTTTTGTTTGTTTATTTGTTTTTAAATAATTAAGCTATTTTGTTTCGATAAAAATCCGTGAAATAATTAATTTCTAGTTGGTTTCCATATATCAGATAAGCAATAAGAATTTGCTAGACGCGACCGATTCGCAATGAAATCGCAGAAAAACAATTTGACAAGTTAACGCGATGTTAGCAATTGCCGGCCTCAACGCTCGATACAGTTCAGTTCGACCCACAGTCAATCGGAATCTAACTGCAAAACTGAACTCAAACGTGAAAATGTTTACATATTTTTTTCGCTTTTTTGCAATCCGTATTTTGCGCAAAGCCAAAAGGGTAGAAGCCGCAGTCAACAACAGCAGCAACTGCACTGAGCAGAGCACGCCAACAGCGACAGCGACAGTGACGACAGAGTTTTTGCAACTGCAAGACAAATTACATTTACAACTGATATATCAGTAGAAGCAGTGGCAGCGGCAGCGGCAGCGCATAGGTTGTATTTGTATTGGTAACTTCCATTAGCATTGGGGGCTTATGGGTAGGCAGCATATGAAACAAAAAGAAAAACAAAATACTGCTGCTGCTGCTACTGCTGTTTGCAGCGAAAATTATAGAAAATTATTTCTAACAGTGTTTATGTTAAATTTGTTAGAAAATAGGGGAAGGAAGCAGCAAGCAAGTTTTTAACAAAATTAGAATTAAACAAATTGAAAAATTATTGTTTTTATTTTATTGCTGCTGCTGGTTGATATTATTATTATTATTATTATTGTTGTTGTTGTTGTAGCTAAATATGACTGACAGTTTTGTTTCAATGAAGTGCAAATGCATTCTTTATATCGTAACAAATAAATAATTTCAACAATTCATAAAAAAAAATTGTTATCAAATATTAATGAAAATAATGGTGGCAAATAAAATAATAAATTTATTATGTCTAAAGTTCTAAATTAACCTAGAATTATATAATTAGAACGAATTACTTAGTATATTAAATATACCTAATTTTTAATAACGACATATCAAAAATGTTGCCACTTTCCTTAATTATATATAATCCTTAGAACCATATTATACAGACAGTCATATCAAAATTGTCTCAATGTCATACTTTAACTACTATTTTCTCACTTCATTCGC